TATGCGGCCTGCGGCCGCCCCTTGTTTTGGCCGCCCGCGTGCGGGGCACGCGCTGCACACCCGCTAGGATCGGCCCTGATTGTTTTCACTCAATTTGTATCCACATTGAAGTTTTGTAACAATAAGATATTACAAAATATTGATAACTAGCAGACCTCGCAAACGTTGATGTTTTTCTACAGTGTGAGGTGTCCACCTTGAGAACTTACCACCCCTGTAAAATTGTTATTATCTGACCGATTTCAAAAATAGTAATTTTCCTAACAAGTGCGGAAAGTGATTCTTTCCCGCACGTGACTGCCGTTGACACGAACGACGCGAAGCGGAGTTCGGGCAAGCAGTCGAGTGTGCGGGAAAGAAACTTATTCCGCATGAGTTAGGAACAATATTTTGTCTACAAGCGTAGGAAATTGATTGAATCGTTCAATTAATTATTCAAGCAAATAGGAACAACTAACAAGAGATATATATTCTCTATCTATTAATTATTAGTAATAGCTATTGTGAACTTACAGTTTGACGCATTATGTTGGTTCATTGCGGAAGCCAGCAGGCCCATTAGGAGTTTGGTCTCTAGGTTCAAGACACTTCTATGAAATGAGCCAAAAATACCTATTCTTCATTCGGTTTTTTCATTTTTTTATTGTTGCACCATTCAATAAAACGCGTGTATAGCTTCTCATACCTTTCTTAAGACTTCGTTGGTGATAACGCATCTGTATCAAATCCCTATAGCTAGAAGTTTTTGATCACATTGTGGCATTTCCACTGAATCGAAAATGACAGTAACGCTGTGTCTGTCACTTCGACAATTTCAAACTTATTTGAGGTTTGATTGGCAAGACAAATTGACGTTTCCCGTCAGATCAATCCAAATCTATAGGGGGTTTTTATAATAATCAATTTTTATTTCTCAATATTTTTTCATCAGTCATTATGTGCGAGTAGAATACTATACTTTATCTACAACTATTCAAATATCAAGGCAACTCTGACGGTTCAGAAATATATCTTTGATAATGAAGGTTAGTATATTGCAAAATCACTAAATCTGATTTGAAATACTCATTAATTTCATCGAAAACTTTCAATCAACGAACAGCTTATAACTTATTTCAATAATTTTGATTGTGAAAATATGATAAACAATGTTGGATCTAACTTTTATTAACAGGAAAAAAGTTGTGCAATTACATCATCATCACAATCAGTCAATCTTACCAGGTATTATATGCCATTTCAGTTGGAAAATGAATCATTCTACTTTCAGACTTGCTTCTGCTGTTGCATTCCCCTACCGCGATAATTAATTGTAGTAACCTGTCTCTAGACGCTAGTTATCAACAATGAAATTCCATGGTTCTGATTGGTCTGTACTAATCTATTCGAATAGCCCGCACAAAAGTGTGAGCCAAACTGCAACTGTCAAGTGTCAAGTCCTATTTTATACGTATATGATGGTTACTCATGATGGTAGTCACTGTTGAGAATGAAGAACAGTGAATTCTCATTTTTTCGTGTATTCGTAGAATTTAGGGTGATTAAAACTATGAGAACCATGTAAGGTGAGTCTTTTGAATTTGCGTGTATTCCACAAACAGTAGTATAGTGGTGTGCTTTGTTGTTTACATACAGTTCATTGGCTTTATTGGTAGAACTAGTAGAACGAATACCTACTTAATAGGCCTTTTCATTTAGATGACAAATGCCTATCTCTGTTTACATCTCGCATCCAACGACAGTGGCGGCTATTTTCACCGAAACACTTACACCACAGTACCACACTCCTCAGTAAGGAATAAGTAACGGTTTTTGGAATTAAATTATTATAATACAATTAATACACACATGGAATATAAAAACAAAAATACTATGTTGTTATTGATGTTTCTCAATGACGAATGCTCATGGTGGTTGACATTTGACAGAACGTTAATAATACTCGCCATATTCGAAATGGCCAATCAGCGTTATGTGTTGGAACTATACCCAATGAGACTTCACCTTCGCATTACCCAATGAATTTTTGGATCTAAAAACGAGCGCATGCGTCTTAAAAATATGTCTAGATGAAAAGGCCTATTGAATTTGACAAGACGATGGGGATGTCAGATTATAACGCCATCCTACAGTCATTATTACTCTTATTACTCGATTCATCACAATAATGTCTGTCATTAAATGTTAAAAATCGAGTTAGCAATGTATGAATGACTCCATAGTTAGTAGATAAAAAAAATTAACCAAGCTTTATCAAACAAAACATTGATCAATGTCGCTGGCTCCTGGGCTAAAATCAGTTGTGTGAAACACAATAAAACTTCCTCGAAAAGGTCAATTTGTATATTTATTAAAAAGATATATTGATCAACAATTCATTGCACACGGAAACATTTATATATTCTCAATAAATAACAAATTCAAAATATTATATAAAATCGTGGATCATATCATATTTATACGAGTCACTTCTTTGTTTAAAGGTACTTTATCTGTAATCTGTGCATGCATCAATAATTCGTCTTTGTAGGATTTCTGGTATACCACATGCCCAATATCATAATAATACCTAGGTAGGTATTATGCAGGTATATATTATTTCAGAGTACATTGCGGATGGAGAATTGGACACAATAATATCATTCTTCAAATGTAGAACAGCCCAATTTGAATTTGATGGAATAATGTTAATCGAATAACAAATATAGAAATCAGTCTGAACAGGTTGTTTATTTCAGAGTTCTGGAGACAAAAGCCTTATCAGAATATGAATAAAAAAATTATATGAACGACATGGGTCCAAAACTGCTTTATTTCCGAGATTTTTTTCTTTATGGATTCCAGTGATATGCCGAGGTATGGTATTGTCCATTTTTCTCGAAAACGAAGCAAGAAACGAAAAAATAGCCATAGACAGAAATAATGTTGAATTTTTAGTGGGTCCACATGAATATTTGAGGACCCGCAAAAAAATCACTGGGTATCTTTTTTTTTTCTACTAAAAAGCCGATACTTGCTCGATGGGTATGCCCCTGGAAATTCTGGATCACATCTAATTGGTCCATTAGATGTCTGATAAGTTAGTTAATAAATTATTCAAATGAGATTCAACGTTTTCAAGATATTAATTGAAGACTAATAATTATTTTTTTCAAACTTGAATCCCCTTATTTTCTCGGAAACGAAGTGTTGTCGGACCCATGTTCATGAGAACTTTTTTTCATATTTAGTTGAGAGGACTCTCCCCTAACCTTTTGTCACCACCACTCTGGAATACTTTGTTTAAGGTTCAACTTCTGAATCATCATCGACTGCACTTCAAATACCTTAATACACATTATCTACCCTCAACCATTGACGAAGCCCTTTTTATAGTAAACCCATGGCATGCCCTTCACAAGTGTCCCACCCATATTAGCAGTAGTAACACTTCCAGACTGACTCTCCTGTTGGAACTGAATTGGCTCTTTTTGTCTCTTTTCAAGTAACAATAACACTTCACATAATATTCACTAATAAATAATATCTTCGCGGACACTTTACATTTCTTTCGGGACGGAAGAATGAATTGGGGAATACCTGTTCCACCCTCAGATATTGGGGTCACTCCCTGAATTGAGTGATAGCTTCGATCTGAGCGCCTGAAGAATTGTCCAATCCGACAATGACCACACACCTTCGGGCTCACCCCGCCCCTTGGAACTTTTGGAACTGACACTCCTACTTGTAGCAAACGCCTTCGTGTAGATGACACACCCATCAAGGGGATGTATATTATGGATCTTCGTTTCGAGCTTTAGAATTGTCCAACCCATTTATGATAATGGACACTTTTTCGGGCTCGGGCTGAACGCTTTCTCATGAAGCTAACACGTCTGCTCGTAGCAGATTTAGTACTCAATCATGAATAATATGGATGGAATAATCGATGGACATTAGTTTGTGGTACCGCTGTTAACGGACACCGTATAGATTTGTCGGGACGGAGAGCCAGGATGGATTGATGCATGCTACAACTTTTTAGCTATTATATAGCTACCCCCAAAAGCTACTAAATCAACTGACTAAACAGATTCGAGCTTCTGACAAGGCCCCAGAGGTTTGTCCAACTCATTTTGACAATGACCACACCTATATTGCTGACCCACTCTAGCTGACCCCGCCCCTTCGAGCTGCCACGCTTACTCGTCACGTCTTCCTGTAGCAGACACACCCAAGAGGATCTGTATAATATGAATAGTGCCGCTGTTTTTCGGGACCAAGAGACGCAATTGGAGGAGTCATGCTCTATTTCTTAGCGATTGGCCAACAGCTACCCATCGTCAAACCGAACATAGTGATATCTTTGTGCTGAACTTCAGGATAATTCAACCCATTTCGACAATAGCTGCACCTTATTCTCTTCCTCTCCGATATGACACTCCTTCATTCAGCAGACACGCCCATGTAAGGCATCAGTTTTCGTTCCCGCTGTTCGCGAAACCTATGCTCCACTTTCTCAGAAGCTACTAATTATCTGACTGAACAAAATTGAACTGGTTCCAACCATTCTGACCATTCTGACCAACTGGCCACAACGTCTGGCCGTCCCTGTCTCTTCTAGATGACACGCCTTTTTGAAGCAGACACGCCTACTTGGAGCAGACAAGCCTACTTTCAGCAGATACGCCCATGGCATTTGTCGGGACGGAGAGACGGGATAGATTAATTCATGCTCAACATCATTTTTAGCCATTGGCTGCTCCCAAAAGCTACGAATAGTCTGACTGAACAGATTTCAGCTTCTGACAAGGCACCAGGTCTGTCCAACCCATTTTGGGATAGTGCCGCTGTTTGCCGGGACATGTCATGTCATGCTTCATTCCTTAGCTAACCGAACAGAGTGATATTTTCGTGTTGAACTTCAGGATTGTCCAACCCATTTCGACAATAGCTACACCTTCTGGCTCACCCCGTCTCTTCGAGATGACACGCCTACTTATTGTATCAGACACGCCCATCTAAGGCATCAGTTCGTGGTGCTGACATTCGCAGACACCGTACAACTTTGTCGGGACGGAGAGGCCGGATTGGACAATCCGCTTTCTCTGATCGGGCTGAGCGCAGGCGTCTTCTGTTTGTGGACGACGCTCCTTCTTCTTTTTCTGTACAGCTGCCTTTTGGGCGCGCAGCGCTGTTGTTGCTGCTGCAGGACGGAAAGGGCATTGGCCAGTTCGATTTCGCTGATGAGGCGGCGCCTGGGCGGGGCAGGAAGGGCGGGTAGGGAGTTGGCCCTACGTGGGACGTCCGGGTAGCAGGGGACGCTTCGGATGGGTTCGGACGACGGTTGGTCGTTGGGCACCACTTGGTTGGATCTAGGAAGGGTAGTTGACTGTTGGCTTGGGCGGCGTTTGGTCTGACCCAGATTTCCTAGAACATGGAACAAAAATATTGCTCACATGAGTCTGCATAGTATTTCATTGCACGTGCGTCGTAAAGTCAAGAAATATATTGAATCAATTCAAGGTCAGATGTCTCAGTGAAGAAGTGGCGTGATGTAGTGTTTAAGTTTTCCATTACTGCACGCTTCTACAAAAGCGTCCCGACATACGTACACTTCCGTATGCAATCGTTAACACGTTGTGGTCGAGAATGATATATGTCATGACTTATATGTCAACAAACGACATCATAGACATTAGTTGCGTTTTTTTATCCGATTCCGCCACCGGAATCAGTTTGATGTGTCGTTTTATTTGCAACTTTTCCGATTCCGGTTGCTACTTTCCATTCCGTCTCACTACAAGGAATGATGTGGAATGACTGTTGACAGGTGTCAAAAAATCAAATAAGATTGACCAAAAACGAACCTTTTTGAAAGAAAAAGAAATTTAGAATACATTCTCAGCGTGAGTTTCACTAGTTCATGATTCTTTCAAGTAGTTCATGATTCTTTCAAGTAAGACAGGTTTCATTATGTTCATTCCCAGATGAAATAAACTCTGTCGATCTCAGAAAAGGTTCTTCAATCACCACAATCACTGCTCCAAATATTAGTTGATTCATTTTCTAGATTCTTAACTCTAGTATTATGCTTTTGAAATTATTTGGATCTCCCCCTGTTCCCACCACCGGTACCAGAATGGAACAAATAAAACGCAACTATTGCTACTCTATTCGCGGTTTCCAAGGTCATTTGATGACGTTGCCACAATATTCAAAACTACGGGAAGACATCAAAACTCTTGGCATAGATCTCAGAGCATATATTATTGAAAGTGAGACATGTTCTCGTGTAGTTTTCAATGTCATTAATTTTTATCACACGCAAGGAAATATTATGCAGACTATATTGCAGCATTTGATAGAGTACTCACCTATAACTCTGAAAAGCATTCTCAATTTGGCACTAGACCAATGTCCGTGGGTCCTATGTGGCCTACCATCTATGACTGGGATGCTCTTGGTTTTTGTTTTATGCCTACACAAGGACAGCAACCATTTGGGTTCTGTAGGGCTGTGAGGATCATCGGGACTGTCAGGTACAGAAACACAACAGTTCCACCTGTCGAGAATAGTATTTGTTTATTTTTTCTACATCATGTTCATTCATCCATCTTCCACATTTAGTAAAATGTCTAGGAGTTGAATCTATATATAGCTTATGACCTTGGGACCGAACGTGACGTCATTCTTTGACGCCTTTCGCAAACATGACTTTCGGTTACTAGGTTTGGGCCAATATCAGAATGATCCCAACTATAAGGCGGTGTATTCAATGCCTTTCTTGGCATTGGTATATTATTCAACAATTTCTGTGTTATATAAACTGGTACGGATCGGATATGCCGAAGATATATGGATATGCGCGGTGGATGTCACGGTCGCGGTCGAGGTTTACAACGATGACAAGCAGCAGAACATACCTTTCAGTGTTCTCTGCGGTTTTTAAAATCATAAAAACTACGTCTAGAAGCAAGTGATTGTATGTCTTCAAGCGAAAGGTGGTGGATCATTTGTAATACTTCAAATCGCCAGTTTTTGGCTCATCCAATAAACCAAGAAAGGCAGTTAGGTACCTATCTAAAAGAACACCATCACCTATTCAAATAGCTAAAAAAACACCACTCAGACAGATTTTATGCTTATATTAGAATGAGTCAGGATACATTTCAGTATATTTATTACAACATACAGGGTGTCCCAGAACAACGTACATTAAATTCAACAGGGTGAACTAGAGTTCAAAATAGGTCGATTGGGACCAACTTACCTCTATACGAAAATGCACCGTTGGGGCGATGAATGATTCTTTTTATCAGATTTTATTGAATATTTCAAAATCCTTGAATGGTAAGGATCTGAAATTTGGAAGGCAGTCAACTATAAGAAGTGTGCATAGATAACAGGTCTCATCAGTGCAATCGATGTACAGGGAGATACAAATTTAGCATTCTGATTGGAGAAAATCCATAGAACTTTTTTTGAGTAGGCCACTGACCATATTTTAATATCTACTTGAATAACAAAATCAATTATCTATCTTTTTTCTCACCACATTTCTTTCTAAATTTTGCTCGGTTTACGAGATATCTGAAAAAATTCTTTCGGAGTCCCTCCATATCATCCATAGTCCAAGGTATCAGAGTTATCGTGTTCTGCAGGTTTCTTCCTCCGTCATGTTGATATTTTGGTCACGTATTCATGTTAATCATTTAATAACCTTTTCATCATACAGGATGGCCCATTTTCAACCTGACAGGAAGATTTTGGGTGATAATAGCGTAGTAGATACGAAAAAATGCTCAGTTTTTTCGTTCATATCAACTACTTTTTCTGCTACTTTTTCTGCTAATTCATTGCCTAGTAAGATAATATAATAACTATCATACGAACCCGACTTTAGCCGAACATTAACAAAAACAATCAGCCCAAACGTCTCGCACCCTGTTTACAACAGGAAATAAACCATCCGTATCGTAGGCGAATATCACGTGGTCTGATAAATAAACGTGTCAATTCACCACGCGATCAACAGATCGATCGCGATGCAAAACAAACTATTGCGAGGGTGAGCAGGTGAAACATCCTTAGTATGTGCGGTGTCATAAGGACAAATGTGTTTGTTTTGACATCGATGTAGCTACCGCAACCGTGACCTCCATTGCGAACATCCATGTATCTGGCATGTCCGTACCCTAAATAAAGAGTATACAAAATCATTTAAATATGTAATAGCGAATCATATCGGCCCCCACAATATTTTTCCAAGAAAATACTTGTAGACAAAATTTCACGGTGGCCTAAAGCAAAAGTTATATTATTTTTCTCAAAAAAGAAGTATACACAGTACAGTGTGTCCGTATGGAATGAATTCGATATTTCCTAGACTAACACAAAAGTCTCTTCAAAAATAAAATTATGTGATACCCAGTATTTTGTGACTTTTTTGGAATCAGCTCATTTTTAATGATCTACAAATGTCACGAAATATATAGGATGTTACGTTTGAAAAAATTGCCGATCACATCACTACCTTGACGTTACCATAAGTTGCAGAACATGAAAATTAACAATTGAATTGTTTCAGATTTTGTCAAATAGGCTTCTGGCTAAGGAAATATCGAATTCATTCCATACTTCCAATTGAACGCCTTAAGGCGTTTTCGGAAACTTACTCTGGGTTGTTGACTCGATCTGAACGGGTCACGTGATGGATCAGTCGGATCACTTATCCTAATACCTACTATAGTTTACGAACTTATCAGGTTACTATTTTATTAAGTTAGCTTTATACCTCTTCGAATAGAACTTCTTGATTTCTTACAGCTGTATGCAATTTTTTCAGTTTGCTATACGATATCAATATTTTCGAATCAATTTCTCCATATCTTTAAAAACATACCACTAAACTCTTGAAAGATACACGTTGTTATTGTTCTAGAAATGATGAATATTGCTTCTGCTCATGATGTTGGTGTATTTTCATCATCAAACTAATGCTATTCAACCTAATTCACTTCTTGTTCAATTGATGAAATCAAATAATATCTGAAGTGACCTTAGAAATAAATGAATCGTGAGTAGTTCTGTGGTAGTAAGTGTATGATCTAAGGTAGTTACTCTGGCTGACCCTGCTTTGGAGCAGGGTTGCGAAACATGAACCCGAGTTAGTGATCGAGTAAGTAACACCGAAGTTTCCGAACATGGGTATGTTACTCGGGTTAGGTAAACGAACGTGCAGGTTAGGGATCGAGTCAACCCGAGTAGGTTTCCGAAAACGCCTTTAGCTATCGTAACGGATGTCATGGATATTTTAATTATATCACTCCATACGCAATGACAGTCATGTTGGCAGTGACTAATACGCCGACCGGCGTATATTTACCTCTCTTTCACCCTTTTCTGTTGCGCTGTCTCCGGCGCTACCGAGTTGCTCGTTATCACGCACATCTGACAGTCCTGCGGCGTTGTGGGAGGGGTGGGGGTGGGTTCCGCGTTGCAATTGGAGAACGTCTCCTCCAATACAGTGCACGTGAAGAGGGTGGTGCGTGTGCGCTCCTCGCCGCAGCGTAGGTTGATCGGCCGGTGCCTCGATGTCGGGCTCTTAGCCACTCGCTCTTCTGCACCACCGTTTTTAGATAACGTCGTTGGTAACTGGAATATATCATATTTCCGAAGGTTAAACATTTCGTGTTATGGAGTTTGCTACAAAGGTGTCAAATGTGAACAAAATGAGCGCCAGCGCCACTGTCAAAATTATATTGTACCAGATGATTGTGTAACGACCCAAGCCAGTTCGCTTGGTAATATATTTCATCATAATCAAGAGTTTAGATTCATCTCGGAAGTCATTTTCTTATTTCTGATATTTGAGGATCATATATATAGTTAGTACTTCAGTTCATGGCTCGATCCATTGATGAGGTTTCAATTTCTATGAGTAGTTTCATTTTTCGTCAGAGAAATGATAAGTAACAAATCATCACGAGATCATAAATTCTATCACTCCAACTTTGGATTGTATCCCAGGTATGGTAAGACCTTGTTGGATAAACTTTGATTCTGCTTAATTTTTTCGGAGTCACTTTTGAAATTACATCTAGGTGACCATGATCGAAAGTAAACTAATCTAAGGATCTCAGGTGATTTCAGAAAATTACAATCGCGAAGTTTTAGTGACAAGTATAGAAGATATGAATAAGACAAGTTGGCAAAATTACATTCTCGTGTCTAACTATTATTTTTCAAAGATCGACCATTTTTTGACAAGCACTTTCCGAAAAAAGGATATTTTGACGAATATAACGATACTAATTTATTCACGATTGGATTAAAAATAAGAACATTTTCGTCAGTAATATTTAATTTATGTTCTTATTTGTAATCCAATCGCAAATAAATTAGTATCGTTAGATTCGTCAAACTATCCTTTTTTGCTTGTGCTTGTCAAAAAATGGTCGCCATTTGAAAATTGATAGTTAGACACAAAAATGTAATTTTGCCAACTTGTCTCATTCATATCTATCATACTTGTCACTAAAACTTCGCGATTGTAATTTTCTGATATAACCTGAGGTCCTTAGATTAGTTTACTTCCGATCATGGCCACCTAGATGTAATTTAAAAAGTCACTTCGAAAAAATTAAGTAGGCATAAAAACTATCGAAAATGTCACATTCTGATTTAGAATTGTCTCAGAAATCCAAAAATGTTACAATATACAGGGTGTTCCATTTAAAAATCTAGAACCGGAACCATTTCCGGTGAAACCGGAAGTGACCGGAAAGTGAAAAATATTTGAAAACTCGCCTCTTCACATACCATTCACCTATACCAAATCTCATCTTGATACACCTAATGGTCTAGAAGTTATGACCTGTCTAATAGATTCGTTGACACCCGGTATAGGAACCCCCACACTACCATGAAGGGACTGGTCCTTCATATGAGATTCATAAAAGGAGTTCCCCACCTCTAAAAAAAAATCTGTGGTACCCACCTGGTTCTGTCGTTGGTTTCTTATGTACTCGTAGGTAGTGAGTCCCAGGAAAGAGATGTAGATGTGAAAGAAGCACAGGTGGAGCAGCAGACCAGCCGTGATGGCTGCCAGAAGGCCCAGGGCTGCTACGACTGCCAGGAAAGCTGCGTCGCTTGAAGGGAGCGACGAAGTTGGTGATGGGACAGTGGAGTTCAGGTCCAGACCCAACGACTCCTGGAAAACGTTACTTCAGCTCCGTATTTTCACTTTATTTTCGTCTTCCGGATAGCACGAAACGAAATTCTGCTTAGCCGTCCATTCAGTGATAATCGAAGGAACTATATGTGACTATTTTTGAGAATTTATCTACAAACCTACGCTAAACAGGGTATTCTCGTTCTCGTTGGTGAAGCATTTTTTTGTCAGGATGTAGAACTCGTTAAATATATAGACGAAATTACCAATACCTACCTCCTGTCCCTATCCTCCCTAGAAACGCACGATGTACTTTGAACATTATAGGGATTCCCTTTCGTGCGCTCCAATCGATAAAAAAAAAACCGTGCAAACCTCTTTCAATCGACGAATCATGATTTACGTTTGATCTACAATCAATATTATGAGTTGAAGTTGAAGGGAATCGAATCTATATCGTTTTGAAATCAGCATATTTCATTCGTGGAGTGGAGCTGTGACGTATTAGTCCCACACTGTAGCTATCTCTCTCTGATACCTCGTCATTCTGCAGTGATGCAGTGTGATTGGTGAGTTCAAGGACAATGGGCGTGTTGGGACTAAGACGTCGCACCAGTCTCACCAATGAATTGACAAAATTTCAAATGGCGCAGGAATTGTGTGTTTTGAAATGGACATATTCTAATGAATTTTTTTCATCGTCTTAGCATGAATGAAAAAATTCAAAATTAATTCACTGGTAGTTTTTCAGTATAGAGTTCACGATAATGTCGTTTCAAAAAATCAGTGGTCTCCCCCATTGTAATACCATTCAGAAATATTCTGATAGAGAGATCTAGATGTTCAATATTTATTATACAATTAATTCAAATAATACTCATTCCTATAGCAACATCAGATTATACAGAGATTATACTCTACTATAACATTACAGAATTCGCTCCATTACGCTTCCTCACAAGCAGGTTATATGACTTTATTCGAATGAACCCTCCTCAGTAATCTGGAGTCCACTTATTCTTTCAGCCAACGATCGGAACTTGTTATTTTTATAGACCTCTAATCGCAGATTCATGATTTTATTTCCATGTCCTTCATGATGAATATCAATATGTCATACATCAAAGCATTATTATTATTATTATTTATTCCGTTTTCTGACCTTTTTCTCACCGTTTGACGGTCCGTCGTCTCCCCACCGCCAGTTGGCGTGGTGCAACACCAACTGCGCCACCGCCAGCGCCGCCACCGCCGCCGCCGCCGCCACCGCCGTCGACACGCACATCAGGAAGGCGGCGTAATTGCGCGCGCCGACGCACTGGTTCAGCCACTTGCAATGGTGGTCGAAGCGGCGCACGCACTTGTTGCACGAGCTGCAGTGTTTGGTGCGCGCGCAACTCGTCTGAATCAGGCACAGGTGGCAGCGCCCGGACTCGATCACGTGGGCGTACTTCGATCTGAAAAGATATGTGAAGGATCTTACACAATAGGCCTGTTCCTGTTCGTTTGTATTGCTGAACTTGCTAAAGTTGATTTGTTTCCCATTGTTGTCTCTCTTCATTGCATAATGTAAACAGAGAAAGTCATAGAAAAAAATCAAGTTTAGCAGGTAGAGCAAGCACAAACAGGCCTAATGCAGAAACGTAAGACATAAGACGTATGGCATAAGACTGCATAAGAAATTCGTCAACTCAAGAAAATATTCCGATTTGGGCCACTTTATAAAAAACTTTAAGACTTATTTAAGATTTATCTCCTAACATTTAAGGCTTATCACTTATGACAGATGGAACATGAAAATATCATTGGTTATGTTATGAACCCATTTATGACTTATGATTTAACATTTAAGATTTACGAAGATGACCAACTTCCAACTTAAGGAGTGCTGATAAATGATCATAAATGGAATAAGGAGTGCGCATTCGAGAGTGACATCTAAATTTCCCGCCATTCAAAAATAATTCAAGATATCTTGTGTTGTTATATTTCTGTATGGAATTTATTTGTGCATGGTTAACTATCGAATAGAAATATTCCAAGAATTATCATCATCATAAGAGATATATACAGGGTGTCCCTAGACCAGTGGGACAGTTAAATATCTTCTGCACCAATAGGAATTTTCAAAATATTATAATTCCACATTATATCGCATCATGAGTGCTATCTTCAGGAATGACTATATTTTCTACGAGGGGCACAAGAAAGGCTCACAAAATCGAACATCAATTTTTTCAAATGGAACACCCTGTATTTTATTGCATTTTCATAATCTCCTTGAAGAGCTGAATTCAACGACCTAGCACACTTGGGCTCTAGCGGGAATGATTTCCGAGATATAGGGTGTGGAAAATCGAGATTCTTCATTTTTGGGAATTTTTTGTGTCAAAACTATTCATTATTGGTCAAAACGGCTCACATGTCCATATCTTAACTTTTGATTTACTATTCACTCGTATTTAATTGAAACAAATACAGGGTGGTGTAGAATTCTCAGGTTCAGTCGGAATTCCACACCACCCTGTATTTGTTTCAATTAAATACGAGTGAATAGTAAATCAAGAGTTAAGATATGGACATGTAAGCCGTTTTGACCAATAATGAATAGTTTTGACACAAAAAATTCCCAAAAATGAAGAATCTCGATTTTCCACACCCTATATCTCGGAAATCATTCCCGCTAGACTCCAAGTGTGCTAGGTCGTTGAATTCAGCTCTTCAAGGAGATTATGAAAATGCAATAAAATACAGGGTGTTCCATTTGAAAAAATTGATGTTCGATTTTGTGAGCCTTTCTTGTGCCCCTCGTAGAAAATATAGTCATTCCTGAAGTTAGCACTCATAATGCGATATAATGTGGAATTATGATATTTCGAAAATTCCTATTGGTTCAGGAGATATTCAACTGTCCCACTGGTCTAGGGACACCCTGTATATATATACAAACGATGAACAAGGAAAAATATAAGACTCGTCTATTGACTACAGAGTTTCTGTCATACCTATTTTATGATTCAGACGACTGATCGGTGGGTAGAAATTTGATCGGTGCTTTTTCGGTTCGCTAGGACTCATCAGTTGCGCTCGGTGTGCTTAATGGAAAAAGAACTCATACCTATCTAGTTTCGGACGGGTTCTGGTTTCCTAAAGATTCAAAATGTTTCTAATAGCAATAATAATTAATCTTGCATGATTGTGCATGGGTGTATTCATACTCTGTACCTAGACCTAGTGAAAAAATGCATGCTGTTTCTAGCAGCAAGAACAACCTATATAATTAATCAAGGTGGTTGAAAATTAATTGTGGCAAGAAAAACAACGTTTCCCTATTTCACCACACCAAAAAGACACCGAATTACCTAGACAGAGTGTAGGGGCAGCTGAAGGCCTAATTGCAGGATTCTTTAGAAGGTTATAAGAAGTGAACAAGGCTTTTCACAACAAAATAAATTAATGTTGTCAAGGTTGAGTTTGTAGTGTGTAGGTACAAAGTATAAAATAATACAAGAATTCTTCTAGCAACCATCATTATTCTTGCAATATGTTAGGAGTGTGTTTATATTCTGTAGGTTCCTCTAGTCCTAGTGTAAAATGCAAGATACATTTCACAGAAATATTCAATCTTACAATCATACGGTTTTGTATGTAGTGTACATCAGGTAAACATAGTCAGAGATTAGTCAACCACATGACTAATCTCTGACATAGTGTAAAACTGTTTCAGTTCGCTAGGTCTCATCAGTTGCTCTCGGTCTGCTGGAAGAAAGAATCCTCATACCTATCTAGTTTCGGTACGGGTTCTGGTTTCCTCTCTCTCAAATCTTTCTCGGCTGGATCGATCAAGGTCGAAGCTAGGTGTGTGGCGAGATGAAGCAGCAACAGCACCGAAAGAACTGCCAAGGCAGCAGGCTGAGCGAAAAAAGGCAACGCCGGTATCAGCACCAGGAAGGCTCCTCCAGAAAGGATAGCTAAGGTCAGCCAGCCGGACAGCTAAAATACAAAGAGGAAGCTATAATATTGTCAAGATAAGTATATAAAGGCCAATGGAAAAACATCACTCAAATTCTCGTTCATTTCAAGATCTTTAATCATAAATTAATTTTTCCAAATTAAAACATCCAGTATACGGAGTACTTTTGTTCCGGTCAGAGGAACTACTATAGGTAAGCAATACCGCCAAGTAACGGCCATTCCCATTGCGGAAAATTGCAAACCTAGCATCGATTTCAAATAATATAAATAGTACTAGAATCGATAAGGCATGGCTTAAGACCGACGTTTCACGACAATCGCTATGCAGACCTATTTTCCAGCCTCGTTTTCTGCCAAACGAAAAGTCCAAATGAAAAACGGTTTGGATGATCGTAAAGACGAAAAGCTCAAGCTAGGAGTTGAAGTAATTTTCGAAATCAAACTCGTTTGTTGCGGAAAGCAGGCGATGATTGAAAAATGTAAACATTGGGAAATTTTGTGTCACAGATTTTAATGAAAATTGATTTAACTCCTAGATACACTAAAATGGCATACCCTGCCCAAATTCTGGCTTCCAAAATCACACCGTTCCAAAGAAAACGAGAAAAAACCCAAAATTAACAAAATGGCGTCGAGAAACAAACATTCGACTAACCTGCAGAGAGGGTGCACGAGCAGCTGCAGGCTGAATAGGATTCTTCGAAAGATTAAGTAAGGTGTAGAATGCTTGTAATAACAAAAATTAATTTTGGAAAATTAGGTATGGTACAAAACAACAACAATAATTAATCTTGCAACATATACATATAACATACAAGCTGTTCTGCAAGCTGTTCTGTACTATATCCACAAAGAAGGACGGACATATACATTCTAGATAATAGAAAATCGATCGTCGAGAAAAACAAACAACGTCTCGCTATTTACCCAACCCGAAAGGACAAAAAAGCATAAAAAAGACAACAGGGACAACTGAGAGCTCAATTGCAAGATCCTTCAAAAGATTAAGTAAGCAGGTGCCTAACGCTTCTAAGAACAAAATTGAATTATGCAAAATTATGCTTCAGTTTGTATTGTAGATACATATGGTATCACTTATTAACAATGATTGATCTTGCAACTTATTAGGAGTGTGTTAAATTATTTATGGTAGGTACGTATAAATCTAGCTCTAGGCATGTCTAGACCTAGTGTAAAATACAAATACAATACATACATCTTGCAATATTGCGGGTGTATTATAATATTGGCACTTCAGTACTTTGTATCTAGAGGAAGCTATAATCTATCTATTGTAGAAAATTGAAAACAGATCATGGATAAAACCAAACAACGTCGTCTCACTGTACCATTCCCTCAACCCAAGAAGACGATTTCCACACAATTCTCAAACACACGATATGTTTCGTTAACACATTAGATTCGTCAGGTGATATACTGGTACGATTGGTACAATGAACTAACCTAACCTTTGTCTTGCTTATTATATATATATATCCTACTGTCCCAACCTGACAGGATTTTTTTATGCTTCGGGAAATAGTCTAGCAAATTATAACTCCGTTCTGAATATGTTCCCATAATTCTGTCTTTCATTGTAAACTCCTCGGTAAACTCAATTGTGTTGCGAAATACCACTCGTCCTGATGCACTCGTAGTGTTACCCAGCAACACACTTTCGTGAACAAGAAAGCGACAGAATTATCTCGAATATTCAGAACATCGTGATAATACTCATGAAAATCTTCATGCCATAATTTCGCCAGTACTTACCCATCTTTTCGGATTATCAACAAATGTCACGTCACGTCAAATAATGAAAAGCAGCGCCTATACTATTTCATTATTACTAAAATTGATATTTGTAAAGAGAAACAAGTCACGATATCGATCAAAAACGAACATTTCGAATCAACAAAAAAGCAGTTCTGTGTTTTTTATCAAATACTTATTTCTGTCGATTCCTATCCAACAAAAATGAGGAAAAAAATCAATTCACATGAATCCAGTTGAAATGAGAGAGTTATTAGATAGATCCAAATTGAAAATTCATTCGAACGTTTTTGTTTTATATTTTTTAATGAACCGGTCAAAGTGTGTCGTGCAAATTGAAAAGCAGTTTTTATGGCATTATGTCTGATCTGCCTGAATGATATTGAATTTTTCTAGAAAATTGATCACGAAATGAACTTTTTTGATACTACAATAGAACACGAATTTTTCGAATCTGGATTTTTTTATTATATGCCATCTTGAACAAAGGAACGTCGCTGCCTAATTTCAGCAACTTAGGATGAATCATATCTAAAATGTCGGCCATTGAAATTATATATGGCAATTCCACATAATATCTTCGTTATCGATGGCCAACAGAATCTTTCATATATGAATCTCAACTTGTTTTGTTTTCCCCTATTCACCATTTGGCTATGTGAGTCTCTTATTCATGAATCGCCCTGTATATCAAATTTGTCCTGCTTTCTAATGGCATCTTCCTCATATCGGTCAATGCAACAAACTGATGAATATATTCAATAACAATATAATCCTTGTATCCTTGTGGAAATTCCAATTTCAATCAAAAGTCGAGAAATATGGTGAATTGATCAAGAGAATTGTGATGTAATTTTCGTGACAAAAAAACAGCAGTTTTGCATTTATGTTATAAAATGACCCTTATAACTATCATACAGAAGAGCAGCTTTGAAAATTCACGGCAACTTATCTCACAGCATCTTAAAACCCTTTACTTTTTTTGTATTTCGCTCTCGAATAATCTTGGACATCCCCTCGTATGTCTTCTTCGCGGTAATAAGATGCGCCTATCGAAAGAGCGAGGCGGAGATATTTTGTGAGAAAGACGGAGTCCGTTCTGGAATTTCAAATATTTACCTCGTCTCCTACCCCTTAATAGAGGAGAAACTGAAGTATCATCGATGTCATCCACTTAAGCGACTCTTCATTCAACCATTAAATTTGATTGATTTCATTTGTTACATAAATTGACAAGAATGTGAGGTTCCAATGAGTCTCTTGGTTGTTAGGGAAATGTGACGAATATTGCGAATGTTTTGTAAAATACCAATGATGTTTTCTTGTTATTCGCATTGTTACCTAGCGAGACATGAATATGACAGTGTTTACTGGGATGTCGTGCGTTTGAGAATTTTGAGGAAATCTTATTGTTTGTGAAGTTTTTACATTTTCCATGGATATCCATCAAGTAACGCCAGGGCCGGCTCTACAGATTTATCTGCTAGTGTGCAAAACCCAGAATAGCGCCCCTATTGGAGTTTATTGAATTAACAAACTGTAAGCTGATGCAATAAAATATAAAATCAAACTATTTGATGTTTTCAACAGTTTTGTTTCCAAAAAAGTATACGTATATGTATAATGAAAATTCAATTTAACAAATCATTAACATAACTAGAAATAAAAATGAATTCTGAAATAAACAACCAGAGCCGAGAACGAACTCTAGAAATAAATTCATATTTTATCAACAGAGAGTATTCGAGTGAGTTATAGGTAATAAAATGAACACACAAGGAGAAATATTGCAATTCACAAAAATGGCACTTTACGGGCTTTCTGAGTAGCAAAATCTTCAATTAAATCGCTTATATTCAAAGTAGGTATCTAATAAGTTTGATTCTATTGCATGATGTAATTGCTGAACTAGACAATTTTTCTTGGGACATTGTCGACCTCAAATAATTTTTTATTATCTTCAATTTCGAAAAAGATCTTTCTCCTGTTGCAACAGATTCTGGCAGTGTTAGCAAAATTCTCAAAGCTACCGTGAAAAATTTGGAAACAAGTAAACTAAATTATTTGGGAAGATATATTCTAACATAGTGTGAGGATCATTATTTGTAATATTTTCTTTGAAATAATTTCGTAGAGTGATAATTTCTTCGTAAAGTTCTAGACCGTCAATATCTGGATTCTCTTGATTCATGTCGACTAATTTATTGTGGAGCTACTTACAAAGTTTTAATAATTCTTGTCGTGATATTTTAGAAAATTCAAATAAAAAACCAAATATATCATTATAGTTCCTCAGATTTTCGTATCTTTCTCCGAGGGACGTTATGGTTTGATCTATTACTTGCAAATTAAAGTTGATTTTGAATTGTTCTTCAGGATCAACCGGTATCTCATCTTCATGTTCGTAACTGAATTGTTTTGTTTTTTTTTTTCTACGGCGGATTGTTTGTATTTATGGAAATTTTGTTGTTATATAGTTATATGAAAGTAGGAATTTTTCTATCGTTTTCCCTTACGTTTGGCGTCCCTTTCTGACCTGATGGTGTGCTGTGCACACCTCGCACACCCGCTAGAGGCGGCCCTGAGTAACGGCCAAGTCAAATCAAAGAAAAAAGACACAATAAAAGATGAAAAAGATCCCCGACTGACCTGCAGAGGGTGCAGCGGCAGCTGCAGCCCGTGCTGCCTGCGCGGCCTGGCAGGTCGGCCTGCCTCTTCGGCTGCGACGGCCTCACCGACGCCGACGTTGAGCATCGCGACGGCTGCGGGCCATGGCCACGGGACGTTCCGACGCGGCCTCTTGTCGCGCGTTTACTGGCGGGAGGCTATGATCGAAGAGAATGGGGGGGGGGGGTTGTTGGGGGAAATGGGGGGCATCGATCTGCGCCGCACGTGGGCGCAAGAGGGTGTTCGTGCGCAGGGTTGCCATGTTAGCGGTTGTGTCGCTAAATCTAGATGAGTGCTTTGAGACAATTCGATCATCAAAGAATGGTCATAATGCCAAAATTAGATCAAAACTTGTTGAATGTCCTAACGAATCCCGTTCATTTCGGTCCTTCGCCAAAGCTGTAGGAAGAAACTTGACTTCCAGCGCTTCCAGCTCGTTTCCTTCTCTAACCAAGGAAGATGGAACATTAGCCACAACTGCCCAGGAGAAAGCCAACATTTTTGTGCATTCATTTGCTGGAAATTTCACTCTGGATTCATCGGGAAAAAAACAACCTCCAAACATATCGCCAATGGACAGTCATATGCCCGAGATCACCTCTCGCCAACGTACTATGTAAGGAAGATTTATATTGGGTCTCAACACCAACAAAGCTTGTGGCTCCGACGGAATCCCACCGATTGTTCTCAAGAAATGTGCTCCCGAACTAACAACTGATACACACACACAGATTCTTGGCAAATTACCACATCTTTCGTGGAGATCTGCCACTCGAGACTCGAGAGTATCTATCACCATTGGTGATAATACGAAATACTTTGTTCTGCATCACCTGTAGCCTATTCATAAGAGTAGGTGAGATGCTACAGAACACAGGACACGCGTACGTCATCACAGGCCTGCTGACCTGCTTGTACACCAGGACCTTGTTCTCCTGCGATAGTGCAGAGGTCCTGGATAACAAGGGGTACATCTTTTTCATGGCTGCTCGTGTTTTCTGAATAAGGTAGTTGATATTGGGCCTGAATGTCATACGAGTGTCCAGTTTAACCCCCAGGGACCGTGTCCCTCACCTCGACACCTTTGACGGTCAAAGGTCTGTTCAGCTTAGACTCCTTGAACTTCTGATGGAAGTTGATATCTTCGGTTTTTGCTCTGTTTATACAGAGGAAGGGACACTACTATAATAACCACCACGCCCCTGGCAAAATAAACTACAAAACAATTTTATACGCTCTTGACTTTCCACCATGGCAATATTTCCGGTAAGTGGTGCCAATTATTGAGTTCATTGAGTGGTGCGTGGTGGTGCCATGGCCTATGCATGGCTAGGCGCTATAATGACTCTAATGATAAATAACAAAATAACTGATGAACTGACGTAGTCGAGTCGTTGTATGGGGTGAAGGTACACTGACACCGCAACAACGTACCTTTTATCTGCGGCTACGGAACCTTTCCATCTTCGAATACATGTAGATTAATTGGTAGATTATGATTATCTAGAGTCTAGAATAATAATACCCCTACCAGTCATGACAATTCCCTCATAATTCACAGTTGGTTGCGTGTTGCGACTGAAATGTTGACCAACTCCCTAATGTATAGGTTTCAATTAAATTAGTTATTGAAAGCATGAGCCATGAGCGCAACAAATTAATGCAATGGTGTATAAACCATATAGCAAGAATTCAATTCGACCGTAGCGGTGTACTGAGATATTCACAACAAACTACAGTTGGATTGGATTGGCCAGGGCATGCCAGGGTTATGAAGTATCGTGGATGTCAATAATTATTATTTAAAAAGTTGCAGAGCTCTGAAAAGAAAACAATTTGTTACAGTGAACTGCTTGTTTTTTATAATCGCTTGTAGTACAGGAAAGGAAGAGGAAAGGACAATAAACTGAAATGGGCCCATTCAGATAGTTACTTTTGTCTAGCAAAATGGGTTTGTACAAACATGTATAAACTTATTGATCTCAAAATCAAAAGAATGTTTCTGTTTTATCCAAATTAATTTAATAAATTCACATTTATATGTATACATCAGTCAATATATCAGTCTACTATAAACTATATACTGGTTGTTTCCGAATTGAAAGTCGAAAAAAATCATCTTGGAAGGTACCGATAATACTTCGAAGTATATATTATTTCTATATAAAATTTCGGAAACACCGGAAATATCAATGATTTTTGCAATGTTGACGGTCGATCGTTCAATAATAGTTATAAGATGCCATTCATAATGTCATTTGATTATACAGGGTGTCCCAAAATTAAACGTTATCCTTTGGAGGGCTGATAGCCGCAGGTACAAAACTTCACAGATTATAATTATTCAAATTATTTGTTTTGCAACCTGTAATAACCCTTCTATAACTTGATTACAATCCGAAATAATAAAATGAATCCAATATGAAAATATTGGTGATATACCAGTCTAAGAATAATTTAAATAAATTAACTTGTCAATCGGACAAACATTTTTTTCCAAAAATATTGCGCAAATATTTTTTATTTTGGATTGTAATAAATAAAAGGGTTTACAGGTTACATAACAAAAATTAGAATCTCAAAATATGAAGTTTTGCTCCTCTGTGTGGCATTCGAGGTACTGATCAAGAGTTATTTGGAATTTTACAACTCATAAAAGAGCCCATGCAAATATCTCCAAAACCATCAATATTTCACTAAGGTCAAATATTGTGAATATTTAGGGCGCCCTGTATATTTCATTAAACACACCATCCTATTCAGTTCTTCAATTTCCAAAACAACCCAGTATGGGAATTTCGATATCCATCCACTTAAATAAATAAATAAATAAATCTCCCAATAATCCTCTGTTAATATTATAAATAATGAGAAGAAAAAATACTGAAAAATCACAAACATTCATTAATATCATTCTAAGAAGTTTTTTCAAATGAATGAATCCAGTCACAGCCTACTCGACTGTTCAATGTCCAGTATAATGATGATAATAATAATAATATAATATAATAATAATAATGAAATATATGTATTTAGAACAATATCCATTTTTTCTTCAAAATTCATCAATAAATTTGAAAATTTTAAATTCGACATAGCAAATACCGATATATACAGTGCGTGTTTTTGTCAACTTGTTCAAACAAAAAGAATATATTCAGGCGTACAGTGCTGCCCAAATAATACGAAACATATATAATTATCAGTAATGATATTCCTAGGACATTGATAATAGACGAGATAAATTTTTGACAATCGAAAGCTCGAAGTTACCAAGCAACGAGCTTGAGAACATTGTAAAATTATGAGGAATTCATCAGTTTCCGAGGCATATGCGGCCAAAAATAATTTGAAGTAGTCAAAGTCGATCCTGTTGTCATAGTAGTGATTGATAATTGCGAGAGCGTTTTGAGAATGTTCTCAGAGTACTATCAATCAGACCATAGATTAACAACACCCCATCAGACGAACACAGACCACACCCTTGTTGTTTCCTTATTACTATTTATGGATATTCTGCAGTCTTTGTGTATGGGGACACAATAAGAAGAGGTGTATTTTGGTCATGAAATGGACATGACGTCCATGACGAAAACAATGCCCATTCAATACCTTCGTTGGATGATATCTCCACGAAGATCTCCGGCTTTTCTTCGTTTGCGACCCATGTTGCACACCTTGAAAGGACAAAGCGTGAGATCTGAAACAGGTGATCAATTTGTTTTTATCGATTAGAACGCCCATCAGTATGGAACGCCGTTTTACTTTTTATTACATGACTAAACCATTATACTTTTAAAATGATTGGTCAAAATTTTGTTACAAAGAAATTTAATGTGAAAGATTTTGTTTTCATCATTCATAAAAATAACAATCATTTAAATTGAGATAATAACTGTTTTGATGAAATAAAATTATATAATGAATATTTTGGTTAATATTAAAGTGAAATGCTATCCTTTATCATGGAGAGAGGCGAATGAAATTATCAATAAACATTTGAAATCAACAATCAATTTAATTACTCCTCTTAAATGATTTCTATTAATATTAATGACCAAATAAAATAGCAACATGAATTAATATGTTTCATGGAAATTTTCATATAACATTTAAAATGAATTTATTCTTTGGTTCAAACAATAAATACTTATTTTGGTAATTTTCTTTGAGTTGAGAACAAATCTTATTCTTGAATAAAATCGATTGAATGAATCATTGAAGGAAATATTAATGATTCATGATAAAAAAAATTCGATTTATTTGTTTGTTCATTTCACATGTTTCATGAATTAAATTGTTTCATGTAATTTTTCCATCAAACATTTAAATGCCTATAATTCTGAGGACCAACATCAAAATAGCATGAATCATAATAATTCATGTAACATTTGTATTCATCAATCGAAAAAATTTGTATTCAGAATTAAAATGATTGTTGAATTTAATTGTTTGACGCTTAAAATGTTGTCCACAAATAATTTTATTCGTTTGTCGTTTATATTTCAATCATGAATAAAATTGTTTGATGATTTTTTTACAACAATCTTTTCAAATCGTTCATCTATTTAAAACGATTGTTGCAAAATTATCATCAATCGTTTAAATTCATGTAACATTTTAATTCATCAATCAAAAGAATTCATACCTTCGAAGTTGTTTGAATTCATTTGTTTGACAATAATTACTTGAACATTAAATTAGTGAGTTAAATTGTTTGAATTTATTTGTTTGATGATTATTACATGAACACCATTTATAGATTGGTGAATTGAATTGTTTGAATTGTTTTGTTGGAATTTATTTGTTTGATGATAATTTCATGCACCATATAGATTGGTGAATTAAATTGTTTGAATTGTTTTGTTTGAATTGTTTTGTTTGAATTGTTTTGTTTGAATTTATTTGTTTGATGATAATTTTATGCACCATATAGATTGGTGAATTAAATTGTTTGAATTGTTTTGATTGAATTGTTTTGTTTGAATTGTTTTGTTTGAATTGTTTTGTTTGAATTGTTTTGTTTGATGATAATAACAATTCAGTTCGGCGCGCGCAACTAGTAGGTGGCGCCTGGGCGCTCCTGG